TGAAACATATGGCCCCCAAACTGGGTGCTGGAGAAGTTTATCCCTGGTGGTAATAGTGCCACCTGAGGCCAGGGCAGGCCCTCAGGAGGCTGGCACAGTACCACAGCTGAAGCCTGATGGGAATAAACTGCCCCACATCCCCCAAGGACACCAGCCTTGAACTCTGACCTGAGGGGCTGGGAGGGTGAAGGGGTCCTGCTGGGGCCTATGACCAGCTCCCATGCCACCTCTTATCACACTCAGTAGGTCCTTCTCTTACATAGCTTTCAGATGATGACATGAAGCCATCTTGAGAATACCAAGATGGTGGAGTTGGACCGAGAGCTCCCTAGTCTCCACTTAGGTCTTCATTTTCAGATGTATTTATACACGCAAGCAGTGTCCCCTGCATCTCAGCTCTGGGCCAGACACTGTGCTGGGCTTTGGAGTGATGGGGCTGGGAGGGGAGCAAGGCAGTGACAGCCAAGGGAGTTGTCCCAAGCTGGGGGAAGGCAGTGCTGGCGCCTGCAGGGAGGGCTGTTCTAGCTACCTTGCACACTTCTGTCGCAAGCCTGGGGGTGCCTGAACCTGGCCATTGGCAAGTGCATGCTACACATCCAGGTGGTGTAGGGGATGGTGAGGTGCCCTTGGGGCTCTGTCCCTGTGACCACCCCGCTTGCCCGTAGTACTCAGGTAGACTCCACCGCAGCCTGCCAGCCCTAGTGTCTCCTCCCAGCCCAGAGCTAGGCCAGTCCTTAGTGACCTGACTTGCAGACCAGATGACTAACATGGCATTTGGGTTTCCCCTGCCAGGTGCTGGGTGCCCTTGAGGCCCCCCGCAGGCACATCTCTTCGGTGAGTACCTGCCGGTGCATGCAGGGCTGTAGGGGTGGGGTGGGGTGGGGGTGTAGCAGTCTGTGCACATGCACCCCGGCCCTTGTGTCCTTGGAGGTAGGATCTGAGGTGACTCTTGCCTTGCCCTTCCCTGAGTTGTGCTAGATGGTGTCTCAGTCTCCCTCCCTGGGGAACAAGCCCGGCCCTCCTGTCACACCCTTGCTCCTCTGACCTTGCCTGACGTGTGTTCTTCCTTTCTGTCCTCTCTCTAGCAACAAACCATTGTGAGTATTCTCCTTTTCCCGTGTGCTGGCTGTAGGGGCTTCGCAGTTGCTTGGGGGTTGAGCCAAGTCCACTTGGGTGCAGGGGCTGCTGCAGCTGTTTAGGGAGCCCAAGAGAAACAGCCCTGTCTGAGATGAACATGCCTGAGTTGGCACCTCCAGATCAGCTGGGCTGTGGGATCAGTGATGGTGGGAAGAGGGGTGCTGGCTCGAGGCCCTACGTGCTGAGCTGGGGAGCTTGGGGGCACCCAGAGCCTCGTCCCCATCCTCTCTCTCCTTGTAGCCTCCGTCAGCTAAGTATGGTGGGCGGCACACGGTGACCATGATTCCTGGGGACGGTATCGGGCCAGAGCTCATGCTGCATGTGAAATCTGTGTTCAGGTATGGAGACCCCCAGGAGGGAGGTGTGCCCTGGGCACAGCCAGTGAGCCCTGGTAACTTTGGTAAGAGGGGCTTTGCCTAACAGCCTGGTGTGGTAGTGGCAGGAAGCCTTGGAAGCCAGGGACTATGATCCTGCCAGGCTGCCTGTCTTAGTGCCTGCTAAGAGCAAGAGCGTGTACTACAGTGTTCCAATATGCTATCTGTTGGTATGGTGGGCTCAGTCCCCTTCCAGCCACAGCTGGGTTGAAGTAAGCAACTGCAGGGGTGAGGCCTCTGTCCATGGCAGCCAGGGCAGGCCTCCTAGAGGAGGAAGCGCACGAGGTCCCGGCCAGCTACCCTGACCCGGCTCTGCCTCAGGCATGCATGTGTGCCAGTGGATTTTGAAGAGGTGCACGTGAGCTCTAATGCTGATGAGGAGGACATCCGCAACGCCATCATGGCCATTCGTCGGAACCGCGTGGCCCTCAAGGGTGAGGCTCACTGCTTCTGGGGCTCGGGGGCCAGGCTTCTGGCTGGAGGATCCCATGCCTAGAGTCTGGGTGGGAGCCTGGGCACGCCCGTGGGCACTGGGACTCTGAGGCTTCAGGCAATGCCAGCTTTAGGGACTCTTGCCTATGTGCCCGTGTCATGTGTTGTTCCCCCTCCTACCCCCAGCACTCACTTTGCTGGGATCTTCTACTGAAAGCAGGGTTCCCAAGATGCAGTTCTGTGGGCCCCTGCCTGGTTGGCCCCTCTTGATTGCCACTGTTCTGTGACTTCAGCCCATGGTGCTCTGTGTAGGGGCCGTGAGCAAGAAAGCCCAGCCCTGGCAATAGGGTGGATTACCCGGGCAGGGGCAGCTCCGAGGGATGGGGGTCCTGGTGGGCTTCCAGGAAGGCTTTTCGGCTCGGCACCCTCTCACTTCCCTTCTCTAGCTGTTGTACTCCCGGCCACCTAGGCCCCCCCTTCCTGGGGGTCAAGCTTAGCCTCTTCCAGGTGCTTCCTCCTGCCCTTGTGTTGGCCCGTGGGCACTGCACTTTGGAGCCTTGGCAGTAACATAGTCTGGGGTCACCTTGAGTGTGCTGGCCTGGCCAGCCAGGCTGTTGGCAGCAGCAGTGATTCGATTTCTTTCTGTTGAGCCATTCTCAGGGTGAGGAATGGCAGGGGTCCTGCCAGCTGCCAGCACTTTTGTTCTTTATTCATTCATTTAGTAAACACTTAGCAAGTGCCTGCCATGGGCTGGGTGCCCCCCAGTCTGTCACCATGAGCTTGTATTCATGCCCCATCCTGTTATCCCATAGGGCATTTGGCTGCAGAAAGCCATCTGCTCCTATGGTAGCAGCCTTTCGTGCACATGTCCTGTGCCAGGCAAGGAGAAGGGCAGTGCGGCTGAGTTTGAGGGCCCTCTCTAGCTGACCTGTCTTGTTTTGATTCCACAGGCAACATTGAAACAAACCATAACCTTCCACCATCCCATAAATCCCGGAACAACATCCTCCGGTAAGAGCCTCACGTGTCAGGAGGTGGCCCTCAAGGTCCAGGATGGGCTGTGCTTGTGGCCATGGCCTTGAGCATTGAGTCCAGCCTGTTTCTTCCTCTGTCTTCCTCCCAGCACCAGCCTGGACCTCTATGCCAATGTCATCCATTGCAAGAGCCTGCCGGGAGTGGTGACCCGGCACAAAGACATTGACATTCTCATCGTGCGGGAAAACACGGAGGGCGAGTACAGCAGCCTGGAGCATGAGGTGGGCCCAGTGGGGCCACTCAAGTCCTGGGGAGCAGGGTCAGCGCTGGGGCTAAACTTTGAGGAGCCGGGAAGAGGCGGGCACCTCACAGCACACCTTCTTCCCTGGCAGAGTGTGGCAGGGGTGGTAGAGAGCCTGAAGATTATCACCAAGGCCAAGTCCCTGCGAATTGCTGAGTACGCCTTCAAGCTGGCCCAGGAGAGTGGGCGCAAGAAAGTGACGGCTGTGCACAAGGCCAACATCATGTACGAATGTCCCAGAGTGGCTGGAGTGGCCTGCTTGTTCTTGTCTCGGACTCAGGGCTGGGATGCTGGCCATTCGTCATTGAGTGGCATGCCCCGGGCTCTGTGGCTACCCCACCACCTGTGCTCTGGAGAGGAGGGGTGGGCCTGTGATGGTTTGCAGATGAGGGGTTAGGAGTTGGTCCTCAGGCTTCTGCTGACCAAGGTGACAAGCCACGCTAGTGTCCTGTGTCTCCCCTGCCTCCCCCTAGGAAGCTGGGTGATGGTCTCTTCCTCCAGTGCTGCAGGGAGGTGGCAGCCCGCTACCCCCAAATCACCTTCGAGAACATGATTGTGGACAACACCACTATGCAGGTAGTCACTTGCCCAACTCTGAAGCCTCCTGCCCTGGGTGCCTAGACTTTTTGCACTGAGCCCCCTCTGCCTGCAGCTCGTGTCCCGGCCCCAGCAGTTTGATGTCATGGTGATGCCCAACCTCTACGGCAACATCGTCAACAATGTCTGCGCAGGGTTGGTTGGGGGCCCAGGCCTTGTGGCCGGGGCCAACTATGGCCACGTGTATGCTGTGTTTGAGACGGTGAGCGTGCGGGTGAAGCTGGTAAACTGCACTTGAGTGGCCTGTGGGGCTGCTAGTTGGGTCCCGTCCCTTTGCCTGCAGCCCACGACCCATGAGCCACCGATCTTCCCTTTGCTGTCCCTGGCTCCCCCTTGCTGTCTGTGTCAGGGCTGTGCCCCTGCAGGACACGTCCCACCCACCCTCCTGTGTCCCTGCTTTTCCAGGCCACAAGGAACACGGGCAAGAGTATAGCCAACAAGAACATTGCCAACCCCACGGCCACACTGCTGGCCAGCTGCATGATGCTGGACCACCTCAAGTAAGTGGTGCCTGGTGCCTGGTGCTGAGCCTCTGCCAGCCCCTTGGGCCTGAGTGCCGACACTGCTCCCCTCCTCTAGGCTGCACTCCTATGCCACTTCCATCCGCAAAGCTGTCCTTGCATCCATGGACAACGAAAACGTGAGGCTTTTCCTGTCCCCTCCCCCAGTTAGCCCGTAGCCTGCATGGGGCATATGTGAGCCACCCGAGGGGCCAGAGGGGAGGGAGGTACTACCGCCCTCCTGGTGTCAGTTCCAAGTCCTGCCACCTACAGGCAGGACAGCGGGCAGCCTGAGGCTTCCCGAGGGTGGGCAGGTGTCAGCAGGCCTGATGGGCCCACGCTTTCGGTCTCCTGCAGATGCATACCCCAGACATTGGGGGCCAGGGCACCACATCCCAGGCCATCCAGGATATCATCCGTCATATCCGCATCGTCAATGGCCGGGCTGTGGAGGCCTAGGATCTCCCAGGATGGCCTTGGCCATCCTGCACCCCTGCTCCCAGCACCAAAGCCAGCCTTGGTGGCCAGACATCAGAATAAAGTGACTTCTGCCTGGCCCTACCCCCAGAGCCCAGTGTTCAGTGCATGCTTTATTAAGAAACACGCATGCTGTCCTGAGCAGCGGCCTGCCAGGAGGATCACAGCAGCCAGCCAGGCTCGCCTGCTGTGGCTGCGGCTCAGGACGCCGCCCCCAGTGGAAGGGTGCTGTGCGCACAGGCAGGGCAGAGGGCCTAGGGGTTGAGCCACGGGTGCTGCAGGCAGTCGGCAGCGCTGGCGCGCTTTTCGGGCAGGTACTCCATCATGGGCAGCAGGAAGGCGCTGAACTGTGTGGCCTGTTCCAGGGGCCACTCGTACTTCTCCATGAGCACCTCGTACAGGCCCCAGTGCTTGAGGTTGTGGATGTGCCGCAGCTCTCCTGTGCGTGGAAGAGCGGGTGGGGGATGTTGGGCCATGGCCCCAGGCCCCAGCCACCTGTGCCACCCGTTCCACCCTCCCATGTACCCACGCACCCCACCTCTCCTGTTGAAGAACTCCCGGGAGTAGCGTCCAGAGAGGGCGAAGGCCGGGGGGATGTCGCCCAGGAGCTCCACAATGTGCGCGATGTGGTCTGCCAGCAGGGGGAGAGGGTATGTGAGTGGGTGGGCATCTGGTTGGCATCCCTAGCCCCAGCCCACCTTCCTACCCTCGTCACGGCTGTAGTCTTCTCCAGAATGGGGCTCGAACAGGTAGTCGCCAGTGGCCAACTCAAAGGCCTGTGAGGAGAGGGGAGGTTGCAGTGGGCATGAGGAGGCCTGGCCGTGGGGCATTGTGGTGCCCACGTACCATGCAGGCTGTGCTCCAGATGTCTGCTGGTGGCCCGTACTCGGCGCCAATGAGCACCTCCACAGCTCGGTACTGCCGCGTCTGGATGTCCTCCGTGAAGTGCTTGTGCTGGAGGCAAGGGCAGCCCTAGGGACAGGAGCCAGCCCCAGCCCCACCCTGCTTCCCTGGTGCCCCTACTTCTGCCATGGGCCACTTCCCAAGCTGGCTGAAGGGGCCTCAGCTCTTCCAGAGGAGACACCCTAGCCACACCAGCGGGCCCACTACCCACAGGCCTCCCCAAGGGGCTCACCACCCAGCAGGCGTTGCCCAGGTCTGCAATCTTGACCTTGATCTTGTCTGCATTCTGGGGCTCCAGAGGGTTCACTAGGAGGTTCAGGGCACCAAAAGGTGCTGTGGAAAGAAGAGCAGAGGTGTTGGGCAGCCTGGCTCTTCTGCCCCACTGCCTGCACCCATCCCTGCTCATGACACTCACCGCTGGGTGACAGGAGGCCCCCCGTCTCACGCTGGTTGGATGAGCCGGAGAGGATTGAGCAGGAGACCGCAGAGAACAAGGAGCCTGAGAAGCCTGATGTCTGCGAGCTAGGGCTGAGGCTCCGGTGACCCTCAGGAGCGGGGGAGGAGGACACTGGGGAGGTACTGGCCTGGGCACCCCCAGGGTGGCACCCTGAGGAGGAGGTGGAGCCACTGCCCCCCTCGAGTCTCGAGCCGGAGTCTGGGGAGATGGGCAGAGGCGTGTGTGAGCAGCAGCCTGCACATGTGCTTGCTGGCAGTGCACCCCCACGCCCTGCCGCTCACCCTCAGCCTGGCCCACAGCCTCCATGGCCTCCAGCCGCTGCAGGTCCCGCAGCCGCTCCTCCAGTAGCCGCTTCTGCAGTTTCCTTTTGCGCCTCATCTTTTTCCGCTTGTTTTTTGACAGTTTACCAGTCTGCCATCAGAGTCTTAGTTATCCTTGGGGCTGCTGGCATCTGGCAGTAGGAGTTCCCTAACCAGGTCTGGCCCTGGGCACACCCAGGATGCCACCACCCTATGGCCCACCCACGCCTTGGCCCATCTCTTGGCCTGCATGGGGTGTTCCCCTGTCTCCTCCCAGCCCCAGCTGACACAGCCTGAAGTAAGGGGTGGGGGCATGTGACCCATCCTGTGTCTCCCTCATCAGGGCCACCCAGGCTTTGGGAAATTACCACTGTTGGGGTGCAGTGAGTGTAGCTGAGGAGCTGTAGAGGAGGAGGGGTACCCCAACTTACCAGGACCTCCTGGGGGGCAGTGCTGACTGGGTGCAGGGGTGGGGTGGGGAGAAAGGAGTGGAGATCAGGCAGGGACCGAGAGGCCCCACGGCAAAGCCTGGCCCTGCAACCTGTTCCTGGTACCTGTGGAGCGGGATGGCGGTGGGGCCCCTGACTGCTGCCACTCAGTGGCCTCAGCAGCCAGGCGTCTGATGTAGGTGTCGCCCACACACAGCAGGATGTTCTCAGGCTTGATGTCCGTGTGGATGATCTTGCACTTGGTGTGCAGGTAGTCTAGGCCGTGCAGCACCTGGACACGGCACGTTTGAGCTGCCAGTGGCCCGTCCGAGTCGGGCCAGGTGGGCTGAACAACCCAGGAGGGGTGCTCACCTGCCTCACGATGCTCTTCACGCAGGGCACAGGCAGGCCCTGGTAGTTGGACTTGATGATCCACCTGAGGAGCTGGTGGCCCAAGACCTCCAGCACCATGCACACGTCTGGGCGTGGAGTGAAGGGTGCGGGACTGGTTTGAGAAACCCTGTCCATTCTAGTGCTCTTTAATCCCCGTAACACACACAGGTCGTCACAGCCACCCACTGTCCACATCCCATATGCTCAGAAACCCAGATGGCAAAGGGACAGAGGCGCCACAAGCTAAGAAGGGGAAGCCAGCCCCTTCCCACTGCACCCCCTACACAGCCTGCCAAGGATACGGACTCCATTGACCCCTGAGATCCGGAAGTCATCTATGAGCTGAACGATGGTCTCCCTTTTGGGGTCACTGGGGTCGCTGTCCCGAACCTGGAAGTCAGGTGGCCGCAGATGGTCCAGTCTACCCTTCAGTGCCCCCCAAGTGCCAGTGGCACTGCTTGCCCACACCTCTGGTACCCTTGTGCTAGGCAGCACCAGCTGGAGCCTGTCCTGCTGGGGCCCCACCCCTCCTCAGCTGAGCCCCAAGGGCCCTGCCCCCGCACTGCCAGGAGCCCAGAGTGGAGGGAGGCGCCTCACGCATTTCAGGAGCTTGATCTCATCCACAGCTGTCTCCGTGTAATGTCCTGCACTCTTCACCACTTTCAGGGCCACAAAGCGCTTGCGCCTGCAGCAGCGAGACCCTTGTCATGTGCCGGCTCTGGCTACTCTTGGGAATATGCTGGGAGCTTCAGGCTAGCCTGGGCCTTGGGGGCTGGGGGCCACTCACTGGATGTCCCAACAGAGCCACACGGTGGAGAAGTGACCCCAGCCCAACTTGCGCACCACGTGGTAGCGCCCATTGAACAGGTCACCAATCTTCACTGGATAGTAGCCACCTGCCGAAGGGAGCGGATGGACCAAGTGCATTTTCCCCTGCCCCAACCAGCCTGCCAGCCCTGCCAGCTGCCTGGCGTGTGTGGGCCCAGCCCCTGCACACCCACTGCCTCCTGGTATGCCCAAGCCACCGTGATAGCAGTCTGGCTGTGTGGGCCCAACTCAGGCCTCACCCTTGCAGTAATCCTTGGGGTCTTCCTGTTCCTCCTCGTCAGACCCTAGCAGCCCTGGCAGCATCTGTGGTGCTGGCATGGCGGGGGCCAGTTCGGAGCCTGAAGACTCAGGCCCACAGGAGGCCTGCGAGCTGTTGGAGTAGGGTGGGCAGGCAGTGGGCATGAGATGTGCTAGAGACCCCAGGTGCCCAGCTGAGCCCTACCTGCTGCTGCTGCCACCGCTGTCACCACCACTGCCCCCCGTGCTGGCACTCATGCCGGCTTCAGCCTGCAGCTCCTGTGGGGCCCTGTGGTGGCCTGTGCATTTTATAGCCTTGGGTGCTGATCTCACTCGCCTTTATAAATAGCCTCCCAGCTGCTCGGCTGTGCGCAAGGTATGCACTCGGGGAGGGCGGGGCGGGGCAGCGACAAGACTCTGGCCAGAGCTGGGCCCCCAGGCTGAGGCCCTACCATGCTCTGGGACAGCCAGCGGTCACTTGGGCCCCAAGCTGAGCTCCCGCACTTCAAGACCAAGCGAGGGGCACCTAGATAAGGGCGAAGCATTCCCGAGTGCCTGCCTATGGGCCTGACTTCAGGGACCTCCTGTGACGATGTGGTTAGCATGGTGACCAGATCCTCAGGCCGAGTGCCTCCCGCAACACTGTAAGGCAGTGTTGGAACTGTTGGGACATTCTTACACTTCCCACTTGGCCCCTGTGGGAGTCCTCCTGGGGTGACCCCTCAATCTCTGCACTGACCCCTGGCTTCTACCAGCTGTTCCCTGGGGTTGGGGATGGGGGCTCAGATGTCCCCTGATTTTGCCACAGGGGCCCCTGGCTGGCTGGAGTCTAAGCAAGAGGAGCCGCTTGGGCCCACCACTGGAGTGCCAGGCCCTTCTGGGACCCCTGGCGCAGCCTTCCTCCCAGCTCCCTGCTTGCTCTAGGCCACTGATCCTACAGTGTTCCCTTCTGCACTAATATTTGCATGGTACCCAGTGATAGCCAGCACCATCCCATCCCTGGGGAGCCACAGTCACCCATAGACACTGCTTGCCAGCTGCGTAAAACTGAGGGAGACTACAGCCTCAAGATTGGATGCACCCAGGATGGCTGGGGCCTGGGCCTGTACTTCATCAGTGCTGGGGCCAGAGGGGCCAGCCCCACATCTGTGGATGACAGTGAGGGGTTCCCAGAAGGCTGATAAGTTGTCATTCTTAATGCTCAGAAAGGTCATCCTGGGGCCGGCGAGATAGCTCAGCATACTAAGCACTTGCTTAGGCAAGTGCAGGGACCTGGTTCGATCACCCATACCACAGGCTGTGCCAGCCCTGCCTCCGGGCATGCTGAGCCAGCCACCAAGACTGGTGTGATGGTGCGTGCCTGTAATCCCAGTGCTTGGGGGGCTGAGAACAGGATCACTGCGAGTCCGAGCTGTGTAGTGAGACCCTATATCAAATACGTTTTTTTAAAAAAGGCCATCCTGGTTAGGCATGGTGGCACACACCTGTCATCCCAGTATTCAGGAGGCTGAGGTAAGAAGAGCATTGTTAGTTTGAGGTAACCTGGACTACATCGTGAGTTCAAGGCCAGTTTGAACTACAGATTGACAGCTTATCTCAAAATAAACAAACAAACAAAAAAAAAACAATAAAAGCTATCCTGGCTCTTCTCAAAGAGAAAAGGGGAAGGGCAGGGCTGGGAGGTGATTCGGGAATGCTGAGGGGCTGGTAGTAAGCTCTGCAATGGGCTGGGGATTGGGCTTTTTCAAAAAAGACGCCTTTCTATTTTATTTCAGCAAGCAAATAAATACAGTGGTTGGAGGGGAGGGGACGTCATAAATTAGAAACAAGCCCGGCAAGGCGGCTCCTCTCTGGCATCCTGGCTGAGCCCTCGGCAGGTGCTGCTTTAGCCGGCTCATAGGTCTGTCACCTTGTTTTCCACTAGGGCTGCTACGTGCTGCAGGCGGCAGGCCAGCTGCATCTTCTGACCCATGGGGTCTTCCTCCAAGGCACTGATGATCTGCCGGGTGACCAGAGTGCCCCTGAGCCTGTCTCTGCCCAGTGACAGGGATGCCAGCCCCACCTCCGTCTCAGCAGGGCCTCTGCCCACCCTCAGCCAATATGGGGATCCACTCCCCCAAGGCCATTCCAGCCTGCCCTCTGCCTCCCCAGGACACCCAGGCCTTACCTGGTCATAATACCTGTGGATGTGGTTGTACAGTTCCTGCAGAGCCTCCAGACAGTGGGGAGCAGAGGTATAGTTCTGGGGACAGCATGTGGGCAAAAGTGACCTCCAGCCCAGGCCGCACACCCCATGGGCCCCCAGCCTCTGCTAGTAAATGCCCCCACCAAAGGTGGCCAGCCATGCCTTGCCTCACCCCAGAGAGCTCAGCCAGAGCTGAGTTCATCTCCTGGTAGCTGGCTGGTGAGCTACGGTGGATGTCCGCGTAGTATCTGCAGGAACCTAGAGTTAGGGGCAGGTGGCCCAGGCCCCCAGCCCTGCCGCCTCCACCACTTACTTCTCCACCATCTGCTTGTAGCGAGGGATCTCACGGGCGTAGAGCAGCTTGTTCACTGGGGAGTCCTGGGGGTATGCACCAGTGTGAGTGGGAGGAGGGGCAGCCGGCAGCATCCCCAACTCGGCCCTCCAGGCCACCCCAAAGCCTGTTCCTCTGTGGGTCTGTGGGTACCCGACTGTGCCCTCACCCGGCCCACTTTGTGCTCTGAAATGGTGCAGGCATCAATGAAAGTCTGCGCAATGACGGCCAGGATGGCATCCACGTTGTCTGACACGTGCACGTCGAAGATGAGCTGTGGGTTCTTCAGGGTATTCACCCAGAATCGCAACAGCAGGCTGGGGACACAGGCCAGGTGTGAGGTGAAGCCTAGGCCACCTCTGGCAGGCAGTGGTCTGCTGGCCAGAGTTGGGCCCTGGCTGTGCACCTCGAGGGCAGCCAGAGTCTGCTGGGAAGGTACCTGTTGGTCTTCCAGATGTGCAGGGTCTCCGGGTCCTCGATGCCATGCTTCTCTGCCAGTTCATCTAGGAAGTCGAACAGGTACTTGATGGCAAGGGGCACGGGCCGGTTCACGCTGAGAATGGCCTGGAAGGTGTCATCTACAAACTTCTGCAGTGTGCCCTGTGGGGTGATGGCACAAGGTGAGGGGCTGCTTTGTGCCCAACTCGGTGGGCCTCGGGCACACTGACCTTCATGGAGAGCAGGCGCGTGAGGTAGATTTCTGGAATGGCTTTGGCTCGAGCCCGCTCCCGCTCCCTCAGGCTGCCACGACGAGCCTTGACCCCTTCTGGCTCCTCAGTGGCCTTCACCAGGTGCCACAAGTGCACCCCACCCTCCTCGCCATCCTCCAGCATGGGGATGTCTGGGAGCGCAGAGACCTGACTTCAGTCTTGCTTCATGCCACCCCAGCCTGGGCCACAGGCCAGGCAAGGAGGACAGACGTAGGAGTGGGTGGCAGGCGGAGGGAGGGACAGCAAGGCAGGGGCAGGGTGGAGTCCTTGCCCAGTGCAGCCCACCATGGAAGACTCACTCTCCCCTGAGGTGCAGCTCTGTGCCAGGCTCTGGGAGACAGTGGCGCCATTGTGCAGCTGAGGAATGAGCCCCACAGTTGCGCCATCAGGGACCTGGTGGGACAGGGATGGAAGAGGCCCTTTACTGGTGCTCCCTGCTCTGGGTGCCAGTGTGTCCTGTTCCTTCTGCCCTACGCCACCCTGTCCCTGCCGGCCGGCACCTTGTAGTGCTGTAAAGTGTTGAGTCTCTTCCAGTGGTTCTGAGTCACTGAGGTCAAATCCTCATCTGAAAGGGTCAGGTGACCGGCCAGACCCGAGCGCCACTCTAGAGGGACCAGTGCAAGGCCATCAGGCTAAGTTCCCTGTGGGTGCCAGGCAGAAGCTGGACAGGGCCGACTGGCTCTCTCACCAAGGTCGAGGGCATACACCGAGGGCCTCTGTGAGAAAGGGGTGCCTTTGTAGACTTGGTCCAGAACCTTCTCCTTGACCTGGGTGATGGTGTCCGTGTCAAGCACCCGGGCTGGCACACGTTGCAGCTCACCACCACTGGTGGCCCCGCCGGCCGCAGGCCCCACCAGCACCATCAGCGTCAGAGGTCTGAACTCCACATCCTCCCGCAGCAGGTGGCTGTCATTCAGGGTCCGTTTCGCCTTGCCTGTCACAGCATCTACAGGACCCTTGTCTACCTGGTACTGGATGGCACGGAAGAGCATGTACAGCGGCTCACCAGCCACTTCCTGCAATCACCAAGGTGTGCCAGAGTTGGCCAGGGGGCTGTGTGCCAGGAAGGCCCAGCCCGGACATGGTGGGAGTGCAGGGTGCAGGCAAGGACCACCTGGGACAGTCAGCTTGTGCTGATCCTAAGGCTGGGGCCTGAGATCTCCCCACCTCTGCCTGCCATCCAGACAGGGAAGGGCCTCCCAGTGGGCTCACTGGGTAGGGGCAGGCTCTGGGGACCTGTGGAGGCCTCTGGGGTAACTTGGGTATGTGCTAGGGAGGCTGAGGCAGGCCACTCCCAAGAGTTGGGAGAGTAGACCGATGCCGCCCAGGATGGTGGTAGGTGGCACGGTGCCACTCACCCTCAGGAAGGTGTAGAGACAGATGGATAGCCAGTTGGTGAGCAGCTTCTCCACCATGGTTTCTGTCCTGTGGGGAGGAGGCCCCAGGTCTTTAGTTAGAATGCCCCTCCATTCCTCTTCCCCTTGGGGGCTCTTGGCCCATACCCCAGGAGCACAGTCCACCCAGGGTATAGTGGGCATAAGTCTGCCCACGGCCAGGCCAACCTTCGCAGCATTAGCTTGGGGTTCTTGCGCACATAATGGGCTGCTAGGTCACTGAGCAAAGTCTTCATGATGTCGGTCAAGTACTCCAGTTTGCTGTGCAGTGCCAAGGACAGCAGTGAAGCCACATGGCAGCGATCCCTCTGGGAGAAGCTGGGCTGCTCCTCCAAGGTGTGGATGAGCTGGGCAGGGAGTAAGTGCTCACTCCAAGAAGTACCATGTGACACCCTGCTCTTGTGCCCCTGCCCCTGGCATGGTGGGAGCACCCTTCCCCATGTACCCTGCCCACCCCGAGCACCACTCAGGCGGGCCTCACTGTGAGGAGGAAGAGCTTGCTGTTGAGCAGGTTGGAGAGCTGGGTGAGGCCCTGACGCACAGTGGCGCGGCGACCCTCTTCCCCGGGCCCCTCAAGCTTGGGCTGCAGGGGGCAGCCGCCATGGCCTGGGAAGAAGGTGCGCTCTGCATACGTGCGGTAGTCCAGGAAGGGGATCCCGCTGGCCT